ACTAGCTGTGTTTTCCATTCTCCAACCTTTGCTAACACCTCTTAACTGGCTGGCTCAGTGATGAAACACACCCAGTTTATTATTAAATAACATATTAAAGTTTTTTGCTTTAATATGGTGCCTCAAAAATAAACTCAGCAGAAACATAACCAAAGAAACAGGGAAAATATTTGTATATGCAATGTACATAAAGATAAGATCTTAAGCTGAACTCTACCCTTCTTCAGAGACAGTATTCAAACCTTTATGCCAACCAAATAGGGAAAAAAGGAAAAAGAAAGAAGCTTAATCAGTACTTGTATTTGAGACTTAAAACGTCAAAAGAAGCAGCATGCAAAATTTAGTCACACAACTTTTCATTCTCACTTAACCAATCAAAACGCAAACTGGGATGTTCATGCAAAGGAAATACTATAGATCACGTAAAACAGTTGAATCAAGCCTGCAAAGACTTGCATAAAACTTTTCCAGGGAGCTGCATAATAATGAAGTGCTAGAACTCATTGTTTCATCCAAAAATTATACCAAGAAAAGCATGTTACAGGGAGCAACAAGTTCTGCACATTTTCAAGACTGCACTCTGAGGAAAGCTAAAGCACACCACCTTCATTTATTCTGATTTCCCAAAGTCCTCCAAACATCCTATTTTAATCCTATTTTAACATCCTTTTATATTAAGACCTTCCTGCACTTCAACTATAGAGAATTTCTAGTAGGAGATTTTCATCCTATTTAAGAGTTTTCTACTAAAGAGCATATTTTATTCATAAGCTATAGCCAAATATGATAATTTGAAGAGCATGCAAGTCCCGAGACATGGTTTTGGTACTTCTTCCATCCTTACATGCTCAAGGCAACATTTCTAGACCTTCGATGAAAACGATGATGTTCTAAATTATTTCATCCCAGCATTCATTCTGATCTTTTTAGATCTTGTAATTACTCAGTCACATACTCCCTGCAGAGCTAAACAGACATACCTTCTTCAGAAGCAGCTGGATCACTCACATCACTTCCAAAGTCTGAAAGTTTGTTCTTTAATACTAATGGCATTTCCTACTATGGAATCAAGTTACCATACCACAAAAAAAAAGTGAAACAAAAATTACTGTTAAAAAAATCCTTTGGAATCATAACAGGGGATATCTGTCTTAAATAGGAAAGCATCACCATGCATTACATCTACATTTTATACCATCCTAAGAAACCTGAAAACTAAATTAAAACCAGAAACTTTTCCCCCAGTTAATGTCTCAACTAAAAGTAGTATTAGTAGTAATAATAATAAATAATAATAATAATAGTCACCAACTTTTAAGAAAGTCTTACTGTTTCAGTTTTTAAGTATTTTGGTATGTTCTGTTTTTTAACTGATCAAGACATATTTTCTGCTACACACATTCTTCAAAGCACAGATGGAAGGGGAGTAAGAATTTACAAGACATAACACTGTTATACAATGTACTATACAAAAACCTGTCACTTAAGTTGCAAGAAACCTAGTCATCAATAAGGGAAAAAATACCCTGCTCAAAAATCAATTATGTTGAGTCTTTTGTATAGAGAAGTAGTACACCTTTCAGGCAACTGGTATTAATGAGCAGACATGGCTATAGAATCTCCATTTGTTTTTCTGACAAAGCTGTGACTACTCCAGTCTCTCATTGAAATTCCATTAATCTGGTGCACCAAGGACCAATGCGAAAATCAAAACTCCATCTAACCCTTTATCAGCTCACAATAACCTACAAGTGAACTCTGCCTGTTAGCATACAGCAAGTTATGATTTTGCTATCAATCAGGCTGTTAGCCAATAAAAAAAAAAATCAAGTTAAGAACGGAGTGCCTGGCAGTGCTGTTTTGTTTTGTCTGTCTTGTTTTGGGGGTTGTTATTTTATTTGGGGGTTTTGTTGTGTTTTATCCCTCTTCCAGTTTCTGTAGGGTGTCTGGACATGTAAGCCTATGCATCATTCTCCTTTGCTGTGATTTAATTGCTGCCAGCAATCAAGTCAAAGCATCACTGAAGTGTGCTTGAATTTCATTAGATGATATAACTTATGCTACTTTCCTACAGTACCTAATAAACCATAAAGAAACCAAAACACATATGGCTTGAGGGAATAACTGGAAAATTAGGTGGCCATTTGGGAACTGAGTGAACTTTTGAACCGGAGGAACAGAGAAAAAGAAATATTAAAAGGAAAGACAGACTTAGAATGCACACAGAGATGTGGGGGTTTGACCTTTTCAGTACCTAGAAAATTACATTAGCATTATGAAAAATACATATCATGTTTAGAGTTTATAATCCATCAAAGTTTAGATACTTTGTTAGTGCCTAGCATAAGGTAAAAGTCAAAAGGACAACATAACAATCAGATTTGACAAAAGGCCTTTAGGGGACCTGTGCTAATTTAGTTATCCCATACTTATTGTTAAATGGATTATCTCTCTTGTAATTAATACACCATTAGACGGAGGTCACACAAAACCTCCAGGATTTTACAATGACTGTAAAGTACACGTAATACACTAATTCTTTATCTGTTACCAAGTGGGTGTCTTCACAAATTATATTTTGACAGTAACACCGCAAAGTCAAACAGTGACACTTTCAGAAGTCGTACAAACCTTACAGTCTAACTGATGTGTACAAAGCTAAATGGCTGTTTTGTTTTGGGGTTTTTAGCAGAAAATATATAAAAAATATTTTACATTAAAATATGAAAGGATGCGAATATAAATAACAAACACCTCAGTTTGGTTACCTACAGTTACATCCCTCTGTTAACGCCAAAAGCCTTAATCATATACAAATGTGGTTTTACATCTCCTGAACTAAGCTGGTAACCATCAATCATCTACCTTACAGACGCAGCTTCTTGAGTAGGTTTTAAATATTGGGCATTAACAGACTGTTTAAAAAAAAACAAAAAAAACCACACACACCAAAAAAAAAAAAAAAAAAAAAAAAAAAAAAAACAAAACCCCACACAGTATTGAGCTTCAACAAACTCATTCATGCCTGTGAGAACTGAAACAAATGGCACCTCTGAGAACCAATCCACCTCTCATAAGATTCTCTCAACATACATTTTCATACATAGTCTAGGTAGGCAGACTTGAATGATGGACGACATATGTTAAAATCAAATGGTCTCAGAATAACACACTGGACATTCAAAGAGAAAACAGAAACTCCTCCAATAAATGAAAGTATTTAGAGATCAAAATCTGCCACCTTTTCTCGACTTCTCGTGTGGCACTCCTACAAGATAACTGAACAGGATTTATCATAAAAAGTAGAAATATTAGTGAGGCAAAATAATCTTAAATACAACAAAATCACACCCGCTATATTTCTACCTAAACTGGAATGTATCAGCCAAGATACTGTTGGGCAGCTATTATACATACTCTCATAATTTTAACTTTCAAAATAGGCTAAGAATTATTTATCCAACTGTTCAAAGTCATACAGTATTTCATATACTCTTGCATCAGCATTATTCAGCCATTCATTATTTAGGTTTATGAACATTATAATTTTTTCTTAATTAGCTGTTTTGAAACAAATCTATAATCATATCTCCTATTAAACAGCCATATAATTTTGTCACATACCCTTTATGCAATCAGTACCATGTTATTAAGTTACAATTAGAAATAACACTAAGATTATGTTTGTAAGCAATAATAAATACATGGAAAGTTGCATTCAGCTGTATTTTGGAAAATTAGCTTGGCTTTCCTAAAAGCAATATTCAGTTTGTCTGATAATTACATTTCAACCAGAAAGCAAAAAGGCTTGGTTTTATTTCTTAATAGAAGGTCACATTGCCAACATGCAAAAAACTAAAGAGAAACCCCAAAAAAAGTGTGATTATTGTTACACATTTTACAGAGTTCTGGATATAAAAAAAAAACAAGTCCTTTAGCCTGAATCAATGCTTAGAAGGTTTATCACTTATGCATGTACTTGACTTATCCCTGTTCTGCAATAAACATAATTTTATATCTCATAAAAGCAATTTATGTTTCCAAAGGGAATAATCTGGATAACATAAAATGTGGAGTGCTATGTTGCAGGAAGCATATTTTCATTCAGCAATTGTATTTCAAGATGGAGCTGCACAGTTTGATCATCATATCATGTCAGAAAACATCATTCACTAGTAAGTCTATCTAACTTCTAGTGCCAGAAATTAATATACATAGTTAATTTATTTGTACATATATCTAATTTATTACCAGATATTATCCATAGAAGGTATTTATATTATGTATACAATAAACTAATCTCAAATATGGACACCATGCTAAAGCACGCTTGTTAACTGTTGAAGTATTCAATTGTTCATGTCTTCAGAACAGTCACACTTAGCATTGAATTTAATGAATACAAAATAAAACAAGGAAAACAGCTACAGAGCCTGGATTTTTTTTTTAATGCAAACTCAAATTTGAAATTTATATAATGAAAACATTCTACAAAATACTGTCTTAATGGAAGGAAACACTGTAAGAATAATTAATATTTTATGAACCTATTCTGCATGGAGTTTGCAGAAAAATATTAATCACATAAACTCTTTCATTATTTATTAGATAAATAATACAGTAAGCCATTAAGTAGCGCAATAAAATTAAGCAAGAATCTGATAACATTGAATTAACAAACAATTTGTTACTACAAATACTCAGTTTTAGCCACTGATCTATCTTCAAAAACATATGCATCTACAGAAGCTGCTTTGTTACGAAAAAACATGAGTGTAAAAAAAAAAAAGTGTAAATTTGAGACAGCTTCACTATGCTCTAGAACCACTAGAGAGAGCTCTTCAGTTCCTTTAAAGGTTCTTGTAAGAAAACCATCCAGCTGTAATGCGTATCTGTTTATCTGATTTCCCACACTAGCATTCGTATCATGAGGATCCAATTGCATGCGTTTATAGAAACTGGCAAATCTAGTACATTCTAAGGTAAGCAGTGTCACGTACCATCAGAAGGTGCTTCATCCTCTTTATCATATCGGTCAGATGCTATTGAGAGACTATCAGGAGGTGAAGTAAAAGAGACTTCAGACTGTTCCTCATCTTCCAGTTCTGTAAAAGTAAAAAATACATTGATAGTTAATATACTCTATCGTGCAAACACAGATAGAATCTAAAGACAAGTATTTTTATTAGGAATACGGTTATCAATTCCTATCTGAAATGGAAGAAATCCAATTTCTCATTGATGCTTGTAACAGGTACATTGCACGCTCATGCGCAGCTGTGAGCACTGCTGTTCTGGGGCTACCTTCCAACCAGCCATGTACATGTTGCTGAAGCAGTTTCCCTAAACACTGTCATATAACGAACCCACTCCCAGCACTGCACATCTGACAGCTTCTCACACAAGGTGGAAAGAAACACACAGCACAGCAAAGAGGTGGGCAAGGGAAAACACTGGCAGGAGAAACAGGCAGGGCCAAGCTCCAAAGTTCCGCCCTGTCCATGTGCAGGAAGGAACTGCAGCAACTTTCCTCCAAGGAATTGCCAAACTCCTGCTGGCAGCAGTTTGTCACCCTCTACCCACTTTCACTTTTCTTCACCATAATTAGGCACTACTTTGCAAATTTTGTATGTGTACTCCTCCCATGAAACTAAAAACGGAATCACGTTCTGACAGCACCAGGTCTGAACCGGTGCCTTCATGCAGCATTCTGTTAATGAATTTCTTATGCAAATGAGAGTCCTACAACAATATATATAAAAATCTACATTATGAACTAACCTATGCACTACAGTGATCAGAGTGCATTAAGTGTAAAGGTCTGGGAAGGGTAAAATGAAATCAATATTAGTTGAGGTTTCCATTTAATTAGACAAAATTTAAGTTCTCCCTCTCAAAACTCAGTATATTTTCTCAGATTTCTTTTTTTTAATACCATCTAGGTGAAGAAGAGGGGAAAAAATAAGAAAAGAGAGTGTTTCTTTAATAAAAAAAATAAATAAAATTGAGGAAAAGTCAATAATTAAATATGATAAAAATCACCAAACCAAAATCATAAATCTAATGCTTCAATAGATCAAACGACCCTCAATTTTCTCAAGAATCATATGAAGCTAAATTGCTCAATCTTTGCCTTTTGGTATACTCCCATGGTAAAAGCTTTCCAGAGACCTCCAGGTATGCTTCCCTATTCATGTACTCCCTTTTAGAGCATTGTACCCGATAATTAATTTCTTAGAATACAAAATAAGCCCCACACATAGAGAAAATATTCTTCTCTGCAGACACGTGAATTGCATTAATCAGGACTGCTTAGCTGTGGCTGAGTTTTACCCCTTTACTTCCCATTTAATAACAGAAAATCATAGAAAATTCAGAGTCTGTGCCCAAAAAGAACCATAGCTGCTAGCAAAGAACGGCAAGTTTTTCATGCAGCTAAGACAACAAAGCCTCATTTTTGCTTTGCTGGAGTTCTTTTATATCCCACAACTGTAGAATACCAAATTGTTTTTTCCTTAATTAATTTAGCATGCTTTTCTCAGTAAAGCTTCCTTTCAAGCTCCCATGCTATATAACAACTGCTTTGAATCTGAACCTGACTCCAATCTATTTTTGACAAGGCCATCCTGCAGTAGCACTCCAGCCATCGTGTTAATCTGATCAAAATATTTGCATTTCATCACACCTGTCAAACCAATCAAAGTAAATTATCCCCCTCCAGGATTCACCTCTCCCTCCAAATAGAAAACCAGAGAGCAGATAGCACATGAACAGAAAATATTATGCCATATTTACAACTAGCGTGATTATCTTTCACACTTACATATCAGAGACCAGTTGCCTGTCTGTCAATATATGTATATCTTTATTAGACAATAGACTCCCGTTAAATAGAGCAGACATGATACTCACAACCTATACTGTATCAAAAGTTGCTTCACTCTTTTCCTATCCTGAACTAGAATACTAGTACTAGAATGCAAGGAATATGCACCTATATAGTGTGTGTATATAACTGTATATATACGTATATATATGTATACACACACACATACATATAAGCCCTGTTTGTTAGACAAAAGTGTCCCCATCAGCTATGAATAAATGTACTATCATTTAACCTTCATGAAGGTGCCAGCATAAATTACTATTATGCTGTATTTACAGAGGAAAAATGTTTCCACAAACACCACACTCCAGCACTCAAAATTCACGGGCTGAATAGTAAGAGTAAACCTAAATATATCTAAATGAATAGCACTTGTGGATGATAAATAGGAAAGTAAATATGTAGGAAGAACATCTCCACAGAATTGTGCTCCACTCAGCAATACCTAATCTCTTCCATGTTCTTAAGGGGCTTCTTATGCAAGTTGCAGTTACCTATCTTTTCCATTAAGTCACAATACTACCGTTTCCAAATTATGCTTAGGATTTCAAGTTCAGTAAATGTATTGTGCTTTGCATTCATATAAAAGCCAAATCTAGACACAAGGGGCTTTCTAATACATACATATATATATATATATATATATATATATATATATTTAGGGCACACCATGTACCTACCCCAGGTATATCCTGTATTTGAAACAACAAAAGCTGTGGGCACAGAGCACAGATTTATAATAAAACAAGCACCTAAGTGTACGATATTCAACTTCAAAATGCTCTTAAAACAAAACAAAAAACATGTTGAGGTATTATGAAAAAAGAAGTTACACTCTCAGTGCTTTTAGCAAATTTATATCTTCAAATCATTCTGTAGATGTTAAATCCCGAATAAAGGCTTGAAAACTTCCACACAAGGAGAAAATGGCAGAGGGGAGGCAAAAAAAACAACAAAACATCACACAAATTACTAAGACAAATATGTAAATCCCATATACAGCTACAATACTACATACAGGTATCCACATTTTATGCAAAAAATGTGGAGAATAGGTCACAAACCATAAACAGAGGTACAAGCAACCTGTAGCCTTGCAGGACTAGATCATACGAAAAATCTTCCAATTTTTATTTTAGATTAAATCAATGTATTTGGAAGTTTATATTATACATTGAAATGCAATCCTTAAATTATCTAATTTGTACAAAAGAACTGCAGGCATGTTGATAGACAGCTGACTCAGTCTGCTCTGGAGCTTTAATAAGGAACATTTCACAACATTTTTATGTACTTACATAGGGAAATGACTACAGGCCAGATTCAACCTTGGGATTTTGCCTCCTAATTCTCACAGGGTTAAAACACATCTTAGAAGTGTATGTTACTAATATATAAGGATATTGCTCCTGACAATTCACTGAGAGGGTTCCTGTTGGTTCTGTGGGATCTCCTGCATTCCCCCCTCAGAATAATCTCTGTCTCTTTTCCACTTTAAATGCTCCTCCATCAGTGTGTTGCACTGCAATTTACATCCCACCAAGACAGGCTAGACAGAATTGCATTTGAAGCTGCATGTGTTACTCCTTGAACAGTCAGAGGAGTCAGTGTTGAGCAGCACAAGCCACTACTCCTCTCTTCAGGTGCCAAGTACCTAAAAATACACCTGAAAAGCATCAATAAATTAAAGCAAAGCATTCAACTTGCATTTATGTAATAGAAAACCAAACTACAAAGCAACAATGGGCATCAGGTAAATGTATCCAATACAATTTGCAAGCATAATTGAAAGCACTGCTGCCTAATCAGACATCTAAAAGCAAAGCATGCTCAAACAAAATGTCTATAGACTCATTAGTTGGCAGCCATTCCATTACAATCACACATAATGTCAGTAGTGCCTTGAACCTGTGCCAATGACAACAGCATAAATTTTGCATCTCATTTCTGTGGCCATAAAATTAATGATCAGTTTAAAAATACTTCTTCGCAAAAGTTATTGCACAAAGAAATGCCATGAATGCGTCCCTGTTATGTAGTCACAAGGATAATTAAGGAGTTGATGCTCATTAATATAGTTTCTTGTTTCCCCAGAATACCATATGATTTATCTGGAAGTTGAAAAAAAAAGAAGTTTCATTAACAGTAGATAGTTAGCAGTTAAACAGTAACAAAAATATGCATATGAACTGACCCTATTCTCCAGTTTCTGCAATTTAAACTAACCTTTTGTAGGTTTGATAGCAGAATCAATATTTTGTTATCTGTAAAAAAAAACCCATACAATGTCTTTACTTATTAAATGCTTATTTATTGATTTAGGAAGTAATGCATAGCAAAGGGTAAGTATACCACATTAGGAACAGAGCATAAAACAAACTCTCCTCATTGTAACAAGGGCTGCACTTCAGTCCTTGCCCCCTATTCTGAAGATTTCTAACAGATTTAGTTGGTACAAGCTGAATATAATGAACAGGACCATACTATTTTGTAAGAATCTAGTTTATAAGAAAAATTAATAATATTATTTTTCCCCAAGAATTCATTTTCATCTAAGATAGTGATTATAGCAATGAACTCCTAAGTATTAAAGACAGTGCTTCCACCACTAACTGTAAAAAAAGAGCATCCAAGATGTTTCAGCCAATATCCCTGAAAGAGCCTTGATAGCTCACATCCTCAGATCACTAAACAAAAAAGTCTAGACAGAGTGATGCATTGAAGTTGCTCAAGTATAAAAGAAATAAAACAATTCACAAAAATAAAATGTCATGCAGCTCAAAACACTCTGTCTCTTGCCATTTTGTAAGGTCCCACGTCACAGCAGGTTGAAATCACTTCCTTTTGTCCACTCTCTGCTGCAGTAAGAGCCCACCAAACAAAGGACTGGATGGAGCCATCAAGGAGATCAATGCAAGGTTCTCACTACACAGTCTTTCAGAAAAATAACTAGACAAAGCTGCTTTCAAGCTGGCACAGGTATTCTCTAGCCCCCTAATAGTTGCTGATGCTTCTTTAAGAAGATGCTACTGACCCAATCCACCAGTCACCTTGCCAGACTGGATTCTTTCGACAGCCACTTTCTCAACGTATGCGTTGCCATGCAATCTGCTTCAATACACCCCTTCCTGAAGAGTCTTCTGGAGTCTCATATTAACATGGCTGTTTTAAATGGCTTGTTTTATAAAGGTCAAGTAGGAATTCTTTAGCAGCTATTTGTTAAAACAATACTGAAACACCATTAAGTTTGTAAGTAAATGCGCTTCAAGCAAGAAAAGCAACACAACTCTTACTTGTTGAGCTGTCTCTCATTCTGATGATGGACATAAGACCATTTTGTGCTGCACTGGTGGTTCTGTCTTGTGCTGCTTTAAATTGCACTTAGCAGGGACACTACACAGATAACAACTACATGAAGCTGAAACAGACACCAGTGACTTGCCTACAAGGAAACCCTCCACACTTCCAGGAGAGAGTGATACTTGGCACAATTCTAATGCATCTGATGGTCTCTCCAGAAATACATCATGAAGATCCTCAAAGGACTACACAACAACTAAGCCACATCTTTCCCATTTATGGTTATTACTAATGATGTATTTATGCCCCTGACTGAAAGCTCAAGTGTGTTAAAATACAGAACTTGCATCCACATACTGCTGTGATGACTACAAGCTACTGCCTCAAGTCCATAAAGACTCCTACCTGCTGCCATTTCCTGAAGGGGGGGGGAAAGAGTACAGAAACAAAAAAGGAAATAGCACCTCAACAAAAAACATGGGGCAGGGGAAGAAAATACAAAGACCTTGCATACAGTGCTACTCTGTCAGCTTGACTATTTCCAGGAAGCAGATGTCTCAGGCTCCAGACACTGCTCTACCAAGAGCCAGAGACATCCAAGTCACTTAAAGGTTTCCTCCAGGTACTCCCAATAACTACATAGAACACTGATGCTCTAGAGACACAAATTTATCTTCTCTTATACTACAATGAAATTAAAATGAAAGTGAACCTTCATCAGTCTTCATCAGACTGAAAAGTGGTAGTTAGTAAAGGTTATATCATACTTTTCTGCACAAATAGAGCCGAAGTCGTGTGCCACAGCTCATATATAAGGTACACCAAGTGCTTTATGGGGAACTTGTTCTGCAAATTCCCCTATTATGACTTGATTTGGTTAGTACTTTTGGTGTCTCACTTTCAACACCGAGCCAAAAATCTTTTGAGAAAAGTGATTAAAAATGTATCTTTTACTAAAATAAATGCAAAGAGCAGATGGCAAGTGATCTTCAAACACAAAAACAGATTCTAGGGCTTATAGTGCTTCTGCCAACTTTACTGCTATTTTTAGCATAAATTGAAAGCAAGGTTCTTTTTACTAAACATTTTGGCAGCCACGGTATTGATTCAATTAATCTCAAAACAGAGAAATGCCAAAAACTGTATTAACTCAGGATCTCTGACAAAATCCAGATTTTTATATCCTTAGTGGAATACTAGTCTTATGAAAAATGAATTCAATTTGTATGAGAATTATCTTAGTTTTCAAGTTCTTTCTCAATTCTAAGATCTAGAACAGGTCACTTTGAGTGCGACTATGGCTTTTTGGTTTTGTTTAAACTACTTAGATGAGGAGTCAAATATTTCAAATTAAAAGAAAAAGAAAAAAAAAGCAGTTTCTTAATTTAAGAATAAAATAAATGCAATAAATGTTTAATAACTCAATAAAAAATAAAATTTGTGGAAAGATTAGTATTTTGGGTATTAGTACAATTGTACATTTTCTGTCATAAGAACACCATGCACTTTGTAAATTAACTGTAAAAGTCAGTGTAAAATCAGATAACACATCACACATGAGAATTAAATATTTTCCTATACAACTAATTTTATGTCTTTAATTTTCACATATACCCACCTTCCCAAAAAAGCTTATTTTTTTCACTGTGTAGACACAGAAGATGCTTTTGCCAGCATATTTACTGACCTAACAGAGAAACTAAAAAGGCTTCTTTCTAGGAGGGCGCAAGCAAGTCCCAAAGTTTATCAATCTGGTTGCAAAGAAATATGTATGTGCTTTCTGAAAGTTAGAGATACTCACACAGATGATTTTGGTTTTAAGGAGCCTGGTTCTACTTGTGCATGTGCTCTTCAACTTTTTTTTATTATTCTTTTAAAACCTCTGTGCCTTATTTTTATGAAAGATAAGATTCTGCATGATAGTGGCCAAAGCCCATACACATACAGTACCTTGGTCAAACTGACCAGTTACCACATGCAAAGCCAGCAGAACTTCAAGAGCATGCAACGATGAGAGTGGAGTCACAAGCTGATGACCACAAAGCATAACTGTGGAACAACTCACAAGCTGAAGAAGCTGCTGTTTGAGAAACCACAGTCAAGTTTCATTATGTTATACAGAAGATATAACAATTTTTAAAGCATTTGTTCACTTCTTTCAGCTTCCAAAAGATTCTTCTGAGTGCTTCTGGAAGGATGACAGGTCACAACTCATTAGATTCTTGAAAACAGCTGACACGGTATGATAATTAATGTACTGTGATAAATAATGATAATATGGCCCATAATATGAACTATTCTTCACCTTTCCTTCCAGCTACAACAAAGACTATTTTATTTGCATTAAAAAAAAACTAAAAATGGAGTAACTGCTACCACAAAACAAGGAACAACAAACATCAAGTTTAAATGTACACAGTAGTTTTTATTCTTCCTAGTTTGTTTCAGTGCAGTTTCCACATTTCTGCTTCCACCTCTCCCTTTTTCCTAAAGGATATTCTCCTTTTTCATCATATACTTTGAGATATTTCTTTTTATTCTGGAGGGGAGGAGCAGGAAAATGTCTGACCAACACTGGTTTTAACCTCTTTTCAAATGTTTAACCTTTTCTCAAAGGTTAATTTTTTTTTCCCTCAGTTTTTAACCTTTCCTCAAATTTTCCATTTTTTCAAATGTTTAGGTGTGCACAGAGATATGAATGGGCACAAAAGCTGACCTCACTCAGCTGCTGCCGCTGCTTTGTTACACTAGTAGCTGTCCAAGAATCTGACTGCTTACCTCCATGTGGGTCCTTTGTCCTACACCTACACAAGTCATGCCTAATTTGTACAGGCCTGGAGTAAGAATGACACAACCAAATAAGTTTAGCACACACTTCTTGAACTCTGGAAATGATACCAACAACCCATACCATATTTCCTCAAATATTTTGCAAATAAATGTAGGCTCCCATTTCTCATCGTTTGGGGTTTCTTTTCGTATTTATTCATGTAAAGGCACAGAATCTAGAGAAATTTACCCTCACTTGCAGAAAACAATGGTATTACTTTAGGGCCTTCTCATTTTATTGACAAATACTGAAAGAAAACTAAAGTATCAGCATTTGCAAGCTTCACCATCTATATGTAGTTCTACCATCTGAACCAGTAAGACATCATGAGAATTTAAAGGGGCAACATATCCTTCCCAAGAATCAAATGCACTCTAACAAAAGGAGTAAGACTGAATACAACCTTCACAGAAGTCAGAACAAGTTATACAGTAACAGCTGCAGACTATATCAATTAAACCATCTATTTTGATGGCGATGAGATTTCATTAATAAATTTGTTGAATCAGAAAAGAAATTCCAAATCAAATGCCAGTGAAGAAAGTAAGCACAGTAGAATTTTCCTGACCTTCATAAAAAGCAAACCAGTAAACACAAACTCTGCTCTCTACAGACAACTGTCATGTTTACTGGCAATTCACAGCCTCAGAAAGTTATTAAACCTTAAAAAACATGCCCTCTGGAAAGTCAGATGCACTTGCAACGAAATAACTAGCCTACCTTATTTCATGTTTGTTTAACAAAATAACATTTGACTTTTCTACATTTAGTTCTGTTGGACAGTGAGGAAAGGAAGGAAACTACATTTTAACTTCAATAAGGGTGCTGAGGTGCATTATTAAAAAAAATAGTAAACTATTTTAATGCATTTTTTAAATAACCACATAGTTTGAATTTACAAAACCTTGGCAACCTTTGGGAAGTTTCAAGCTGTATTTTCATCTTATTCAAACTGCTATGGCTGTGTAACTTGATTAAACAGAGATAAGAAATGTATGAACTTGTTGTGCCTTGTCACAGCATTACTTGCCTAATACGACTTACATATTTTCACTTTATCAGGAGGCACACTGTAGCCCACACATTTCAACCTCCTTGTCCAGAAACAGACAGTTCTTCAACCACTGCAAAAAAGTGAAGCTTCGCATTGGCTTTTTTGACCTCGCACTGTGACCCTCATACCAGCATCCACAGGCTATAGGTCATGACCTCAAGAATTAGCATCATGGAAATAAGAGCCCTTCCAGGTTTAGTTAACAGAACAGAGCACTGTAGCAACACACTCAGACTTCTCTAAACTGAACTCTGCAGCTTTGTTTTAACTCCACTAGAAGACAATAGATAACCCACACTTCAGTTTTCATTACTTGCACACTAAATCATCTCCTCTCCAACTGAAGGTCTGAGCTCCGGCTGCACTATGGAAACATTCATTCAGCGTGGATCGAAAGCCAATATCATATTGCCACTAGATGATCCTATTAAAAGGTTAAAGAAACATCACTATGGAATTAAAGACTTTTGCAATGTTAAGAGAAAATGGCTGAAATACTTTATCCCTATTAAAATTTTATCTCCTGAGCAGACTGCTTTGCATAGGCTTCCTCTGGAAAACAAAAAAAAAAACCTGCTTACATGGTCTTTTGCAACGCTACGCTAGTCCTAATTAAGCCAGACATAACAAGCTCCTATTCTGAACTATATTTCTAAGCTCATCCTTTCATCAGTAAGCCTTCTCAGAGGCGTTCAATGAAGGAAATGGGACCTGGCTTTGAGCAATGGCTTAGCGAGAACTTGGCAACCGGGAAGCTTTTCCCGCTTCACTCAGCAGGGGGAGCCAGGCCCTTCGTCCGCGGGAGCACCTGGGCACGGCCGGGCAGCGCCTTGCGCTTCTCCGGCTTAGGGTATGGCAGGGGGCAAAAGCACATCACGGGGAGGAAGGAAAAAACAAACAAACAAACAAACAAACAAAGCGCGACATTTACCTTTATCCTGGAACTCTTGAGGGTAGCTGCAGAAAGAAGAAGAAACACAGTAAAGCAATGCACTTGCCAATCCATAGTACTAGAATACAGCACGGAACAGTTGCTAGTTTTTAACAAGTTTTGTAGTTGAAACTTAGCACTGTCAAGTTTTCCTTAATAATTTTTAAGTCTTTATTTTTGGCTAACGTATTTACTCAGTTTTTCTTTTGCCTCTGCAGTTGAGAGAATCCCCTGTCACTCCGAAGAAGGCTTGAACAAAACCAAACTCAGAGCTGCCGTTTATAGGGATATACATCTATTCAGTTATCTTAAGGTATAAACATAAATAAGCATCTTTAGTAAATTTTCCAAATGGTAACATATTCCAAAAAGTTTTGTGCACAAGTAAAACCCACTAAGCATACTTTAAAATAGCAGGTCAGCAGAAAAAAAAAATCCACAAATACTGGGTTTAGTTGCAATAATCTACAAAATTCAAATTTTAAAGTATTAATAATTAACCAGAAATATAAAAATTGATGCAGACCTAAATTTAAAAAGTCATTTTCAAATAGGAATATCTTACCATACTTGATGCTTAAAACACTTCTATTGTTATCATCCCAGAGGGGAAAAAAAACTATTTCTTCAGAGCTAAATCTTGGTATTTCAGAAACAAAAGTAATCATAGGATACAGTATGATGTATAGAGACAAATAATCAGGACAGTGTTATCTTAAACAGCACCTGAAGAAGCGTGCATGGACTTTATGTGAAAAGGAGAGGATTTCACCAGAAATAACTGGCAAATAAAATGCAGCTGCCAAGACCATCTTTATAGACAATAAGCAGTAGTATGTGTATCAGGTTAGTTCTTACAAGTAACGAGCAGGAGAGAAAGGCATGGTCTAGCAATAAGAAACCAAGAAATGCAAACAGAGATAAAAGGCCAGATCTGAGAAATCCTGTATAGGAAGTAGCAGTGTTAGGCACAGCCCAATATGTGGGATGCGAAAGTCGAAGATGACTACAATGTGCATATATTTTACAGCCTGCATGAAAAACAAAATGTTACTAAGAGTGAATTCCAGGAGACAAGGAAGGAATTAGAAATTAAAACAAGACATGAAATGGTGGGGTCACGTAAACAAATGGCAAAGCATTCAGGGTCAACTGCTTCCGTAACTGCAGGTTCCCTCCTTCGATATTTCATCAACAAAAAAACCCCATAGTTGACTCATAAGAATGCAGATAAAAAGTCAGTAGCGCTGTATCTGCGAGTCATCTGTACTGTCCCAGTTTAGCTCAATAACCCAGATGGGAAAGCATGAAAAGAAAAAAAATCCTGATTCCTTAAAAAAGTAGTTCCCTAAGCATTTATAAACCGAATCAAAGGCACACAAACCCTCAATTACAAGACTCTGGGATACATCTCATGCCTTCCCACAGTTAGTGTCATGCAAAGAATGATGCCCTTGCCAGAAGATTGTGCCGTCTTTGAAATTGTAAACAAGTTGCCACAGAGGCAGGAGCATGTCATCAAAGGAAAGGTTAAGAGATATCACACAGGAGTGGATCAGTAGAAAAACAATTTGGAAACAACAGTGGGAAAAGAACAACAAGTACTAGATTATATCCTAGTTGATCAGAGTTGTAAGAAAAGAGATTTTGCAAGTAAAATTTTGTAGCACGAATAAAACTACAGCCAAATCTCTTCAGCTGACTTGTCTGACTGAAATTAAGACACAACAGAACAGAGTCTCAAATCATACCTATTGAGAGAAAAAAAGAGAGGAAAAGGGAAAAAGGCCACAGCGCTCTGCGTGGTCTGTCACAGTACTTCACTATTTTAACACTGCAGAAGCAAACTATAAATAGTTTCCAGTTATGTTTCAATTTGCTATTACAGAGCTAAATGACAGAATATAAAGTAAAGCAAAGTCAGCATTGAACTATGCTGTTTACACCAGCACAGTATGGTGACAGGAAACTCATTCATATTCCCAATGCATTATATTTCTTAAATTTCAATAAGGCTTACCAAAGCAGAGGTGAAGGCAAGCTCTACCGAACCAGGCTGCAATCAGGGTTCAGAATATTACAGCAATTCAAATGGGACAAATCCTTCTGTTCCCATTTCTGACAATTGCAGCAGCTTCAGGAAAGATATAAAGACTTGAACCCATGCAGATTATTTGACAAAATCAGTACCTAAACAGATTTTTGCTAGTATTGTTAAAGGTTATTGAAAGATTGTAAAAACTTTATGTGTGACCTTATAGCATATTAAAGCCTTGAAGCTTACTTACCTTGCCTTAACATTTTTTATCTTCTTAAGAAGAACTTCCCTTTTCTCTTTTGCTTTCTTAGATAAATTTTCTCCTTTTAGCGTTTGAGAAATAAATGTATCAACATCTAAATAAAGAAGAAAAACAAAATACACCTCAAAAAAAGAGAAATACCAATGTAATGAGTTTCTCCTGATACTACTGTGAAAAAAATAAAAAAATTCTTTCCAGACCTACACACAGCATAGTTAACGGACATTTCAGATGTTAAATGAGATACATTTGTTCTCTGATCTACTTATGCTTAGCACAGCAAATCCTATGGTGACATTTGATTCTTGCTCACTTAATTATGCCACATAAGTCCTAATAAATTGCAGTACTATAACAATTACTTTCCATCACCTAAAGTAGAGTATAAAGCTAAAACATGGAAATAGGCTTTATGCATGTATTACTGCCATGTTATTTCAGAAGTGCAAGTTACAAAAATGGCTGAGTGATTCATTATTTCAGCACTAACACCTACCCAGCTATTACTAATATAGGTCACTTAGTGGTTACAGCATTTTCAAATGGCCTCACGTTGCCTCTGAACTCCCTAAATGACTAAAAGTTCATATCAAAAACCTTAATCCTGTAAACAATTATGGTTATTGTGCCTACCTATCAAAGAAGTCAAACTCAAGCATGTACTTGAAGTTAAGCATACCTACACTTGTAGAATCACAAACTAAGGCTCTAATCTGCACTGTAATTTTTAATTCTTATATGGACGATACATTTATATAGTCATGTAAAATCAAAGCATTCCATAAAAGTTACCATGGTTCTTCGTAAATATCCATTCCATAGGATAAAAACAATGCAGTGACTGAGAATTTGGAGGAGTGCAACTTCGCCAGTAGTATGTTTTCTTGATTAACAAAAACAATTGAGAAAAGTAACTGTAAAAGTTTCTTATAGTTACTAATCAATATACAATTATCCTGAAAACTGAAAAGTAGGAATATAACAAAAAAAAACCTGCTTGTTAATTTGGATTTCTCAGATGTATGGGTAACAACTGTTCACTGAATAAATGAAAGCATATGTAAGTAACAAACACCCCTACACAGTGCCTGCCCACTCCCCATACCCAAACAGATACATAGATGTTGGCTCAATCTGTGTAGATGCAAATAGATATGGATAGTACTGTTTTAATCCTGTAACTTTTCCAATCTGATGAGATCTTCCATTTTCATAAATCTAAACTAGCCAATTAAGAACTCAAATATTTGTGAACAAAAGTTCACGTTTTAAAACATTAAATGAATATTCACTGCAGATTTACTAACTGAAAAAATTGACTGCTTTTTTTTTTTCTGAAACAGAAGTTCTGCAGAAATATACCCCACTTTATATTACAAATTGCAAGAAAACAAATTAAGTTACTGTTTGAGAACACTGGCATAGCTATTGCAAAAATGTCATTCTTTATAAATAATTTATGAGATGATTATTTAGATGTTTAGATTGCTGTCTTCACAAAGCATGGCAGATATCTTCTTTTTGGTGTTGGGTTTTTTTTTTTATAAAGTATTTTAGGGTCCTGAAAAATAATATTACTCCCCATAAGACAGAGAAGCTTCCCCATTACATTTTCCAAAGCAGCCCTGAAGTGGCGTGAACAACCACATTCAGTTCTATGGCATTCCTTCTTTAAAAAGACAGAAGGAAAGGCACTTAACATGCGTATTAATGAACCCTGCACACACACCCCCAACAGCCTCTATGCCCTACATCAAGCATCCCTGGAAACATATCTTGCCCTAACCCATAAAAAACTTATACACCTTCATAAATTCCAATTACTAGAATTGCCAATCAAGCAGGCGAACGAGGACCAATGCAGTCCAAAGACCAACCACAAAACCTAGGTCAAAAAAAACAATACTTTTACTACTGAAGGCAAAACCCAAAACCATCAACAGTTTCTCTGTCAGTGAAACCCAACAGGATTTTCCAGTGCAGAACAACCTTTCATTCTGGGAGGTACAGGTGATTTAAATATTTGTTTCTTCAGACTTTTACATGTTTATTTCAAAAATTAGATAGCAGTTTCAAAGTTCCCCCTAGGCAGCAACATGTGAAAGCTTAGAGGAATTAGTCACATTTATAAGTAAGGAACAATGCTTGCACAGTAATCTTCAAACACCAACTAATCACAGAACTTTGCTTCAGAAGTCTTCACCTAAACTCAGTGGGCTTCTTCACTTCTTGGAAAAGCTCAAAATCCAGGTGAGAACTCTGCCATCACAGGTTTTGACTAACTGTCAAAGCTTTTTTCAAATACAAACATTGAGGTAACACAATTACGGAATATGTGGGGAAGAGAAATCAAGTTGATTATCATAAGCAAGAATTTCTACTTCTGACACACACATGATATTCAATAGGATGCTAAAGAAGCAATTTAGTTGAAAAGTACGCTTTACTGTATCATAGATTTTTCTTATCTACTCACAATTACACAGACTGTTATATAGCTTGCTCAAGCCATGTTCTTATCCAGTGTTGTAAATTCATCCTGGATGTGGCAGATGCACAGGAGATGAGTAATTTAATTCCTCTGGACAAGAAGCAAGAAAGTTTAGGATATCTAAGTTGTGATCATCTCTTTACTATCTGTACTTCCAACACTAGGGAAGAGTATGGAAGAAGCAGTCCTGGCTGTCAAGAGAAAGCTTCCAGTGGCTTAACATAAGGGAATGTTTATGCAATTTCTCTTACATTCCATTAAGTGATATACCTTGGAATGATAACAGGACTCAGGACTCAGTATGACAGATACAAGTCATACACAGTGAACTTCAAACAAGCAAAAAAATTTACCTATTTCTCACCACTATTCTAGTCACCTACTTGCTCTTTCTCCAGGATGATCCTCTGCTAGTTTAATGCTATACAGAAAAGGAAAGTGTAAACTACTAGTCACAAGCACTTCAGAGTAGACATGTTTCTTTATGCTTCAGTAGCAGTTGGTCCATTGAGGAATTTAAAAAGGAATAAAAGATAAACTCCAAACAAAACAACTTTGAGTAGATTTCCAACTTAAAAGCACTTTTACTAATTCATTACCACACAACAAACAAAACAAATTATTTCCATAAATTGTTTGTTCTTAACAAAATGAGCACCTATTTAGTATCACACATTGCAGAGACTCAGGTGTTTCCATTGAAAACACTAACATTTCAAAGAGAAATAAATTTTGGAAACCTATTCAACACCTCTTAACATTTTTTAAGCTTCTGTGTTAGACTTCCTGATAGCCTGAACACCCATCTTTGTTGCTCTGATTCTTAAAGCTTGTAATTTTAACTATGCATTAGCCATAGCCCAGAAAAACATGCCTCCAGAAATGAACAATAGCTGCTGATCTGAAAGATCCAATTGATACGATTCACTCACAAATTGCTCTGTCAATACAGGTTACAAACTGACAAAAAAAGGAATTCACACCACAGTCTAGTTCTGTCCGCTTCAACCAGCTCATATAGTTTCAAAGCTTAATTGCTAGTTCATACAACAATCAAAAGCTAAAAGGCCATTTTAATTCTATTTTCAGCTACATTCCTTTTACAAGGAAAAAAAGCTAAGATTTATTTTGCACTTCATTGTTAAAACATTTTGTGGTTCTCGTTACTTCAATGATTATAAACAGACAACACTGCAAGTTTTTCATTGGTCTAAGTCTTTGGCACTATTTCCTTTCATGAAGGCTGAAACTATGCAGATGGGCTTTTTCAAGAACACTGTAAATTTTTAGCCCAAAGCAAGTGCTGTGTTACAGAGAGTTACTCGTAACAAATCACAGCACTTTTGTTGTTTACAGAGTTTAATATCATAATTCGCAGTTAATAAACAAATATACTTAGGACAGAACTACCTCATTTTTGTGTCAGGGTGGGTCAAACACACTCTCATAGAGGCACTCAAAGACTGTTCCCTGGGTCTTCCTTTTTCCCTTCCTCTAACAGATAACCAAAATGTTGTCCATCACACTATCAAAAAGTAGGTCACTTCTTCATCACCTGATGACTTCATACTATTCAAATGACAGAGAACAACCATAAACTGGCAATTAGATAGGTGTATTTCCACTCACATAGCTGAGCTTGAAGGCAGCACCCTGCCCATTACCCAAGGAGAATGCATGCTGCTGTTTTGTGGCTGGACATGCATTCATCATATGACAAGGGACACTTGCGTGGTGTCACCTGCTGGATGCGCTGCCAGTCACACAAGAAGGGAATGGCAGGTCAGCAGAGTAAGTGCTCCAGCCACCAGCCTTCTCTCATCATTCTCCTCCACTTCAAGGCCTGAGAGAGCCAGAAGCTGGCTGCAAGCCAGAGAATTTGGGAAAGCAGACCAAAGAATTTTGGAAGGTAATGCAAGCTAGGCACATTTGTGCACACACACTGTCCAAAGGTGACCGGCATGAAAGAGACTGCATCTTTCAGTTTTACATGGGCTGGCATTAGAAAGCAATTAATTTGATTTCAAAGTTTTCATGCAATTCATTAGTAGGGAACAGGTCTGAAGACAAATTATCAAGCCACATCTGTGACTGCCTGCCCTCCTGAATCAAGAAATACAAAAGAATTTTGCTTCTGCTCTCCCCACATCCTCCCCAGCTACATTTAAAAGTCTCTGTTCAGAGTTTGCTAAACTGTCTTTAAAGAAATGTACATATACAGAAACAGAACACATGATGTAAAACAAAAGTAACTGACACATTTTGTGTCACATTTTGTGAGGTGTCAAAATGTGTCAGTCACTTTGATCAAACCTAACAAGTAGGTGAGCATTCCTTTTTAGCGCAAAGTCCTGAAATGGACCGCCTTTAGAAACTGCTGTACGTTAAATCCCCAAAAGCACGGCTATGTTGCCATATTGCTACACACGAAGTGAGTTTAATGAAAAACATTGAGATTCAATGGTTTCATCTGTGATTTAGAAAGCAGAAATACACACTGACTGCTAAAATTTCTCAAATGAAGCAAATAGATAAGACATCTCTTAAGAAGTTCAAGAAGAAAAATTATAATCAAGGACTACATGCACCTAACCTCACTGGCT